CCAAGTGCCCATGCCAAAAGAGATAAGATAGACAAGTGGGACCTCATCAAACTGACAAGCTTCTGCAAAGTCAAAGAAACCACTGAGAGAGTGGAAAGACAGCCCACAGAATGGGAAAAAATATTTGCCAACTGTGTATCTGACAAAGGCCTAACATCTAGGATCTACAAGGAACTCCAACATGCCAAAAAGAAAAAAACAAACAACCCCATTACAAAGTGGGCAAAAGATATGACTAGACACGTCTCAAAAGAAGACATACGAGCAGCCAACCAGTACATGAAAAAATGCTCAGCCTCACTAGTCATCAAAGAAATGCAAATTAAAACCACACTGAGATACCACTTAACTCCAGTCAGGACAGCCATTATCAATAACTCAAAAAACAACAGGTGCTGGAGAGGATGTGGCAAAAAGAGAACTCTTCTACACTTGGTGGGAGTGTAAACTAGTACAGCCTCTGGAAAACAGTGTGGTGATTCCTAAAAATCGACCTCCCATAGGACCCCGCAATCCCCCTACTGGGAATATACCCTGAGAAACCCAAATAACTTTACGAACAAGATACCAGCACAGGCATGTTTACTGAAACATTGGTCACAATAGCAAAAACATGGAACCAACCGTGCTACCCATCGAAAGAGGTCTGGATTTTTTTTTTTAAGTGGTACATATAGACAATGGACTATTACACAGCCATAAAGAAGGACAAAATTATGAACTTCACAGAAACTTGGATGGACGAAGAGGCTATAATACTGAGGATCTATCACAGAAACAAAGAACCGAGTATCACATGTTCTCACTCATAAGTGGACCTTGAACAATCATCGTAATACTATAAGAAAGGGATTGGCAGTAGGGGGAAACTGCTAGGGGAGGGTGGGGGCGACAGTGGCAGTAGTGGGAAACTGGGGGAACGGGAGGGCAGCTCATCAACAAGGGTACCTGCATAACGAACATTTGTATACCCGAATGGCACCCCACATATTTAAAATTAAAAATTTATGAAAAAAAGAAAAGCACAGCAACAATTTCCTTTTAAAGCACCACTGGAGAAAAACAGTGAGCCCAGCGCCGGCTCTCACTGTCCTTGACAGAGCATACGGCGCCGGCCCCGCCCACAGCACGCTGGCGCACACGTCTTCTGCAGGCCTGGCTTTCGTGGGCCCCAGCTCCCTGGCACGCAGCCGGTTCCTGGGCAGATGCTGACTCTGGGTCAGTTAGCAATCAAGCCTCGCTCCTCTAGACGTCCCGGGCTGGTCTGCTTTGCTGGGTTTTAAATTCGCACCCATGCCAGACCCGCAACCTCCAGACCCTTCACACACACGGAACGACGCCGCCCGGATCCCGCGCCTTCCCAACGAGAAACAACTGGAACCCTGAACCCGGATGCGGACTCGCCGCGGCACGGGGAGGCCCAGGCGTCTGCCGCCCAACCGCGCCCTAGTCGGCCTGGCCCCCACGGAGCACCCACCGAGCTCCTCGCATCCCGCCGCCT